TCGTCCTTAGGAGGCATCTACGACGAAGAACTTACAAACAGTTTTCGATTTTATTATGATCACGGACACTCATTAGATCAGAGTAAAGACGAGTATTCAAGGATAGGAAGACCGAACGTGAGGAAAATTATTCGTCCCATATTCGAAAGGAAAAAATTGTGCTCTGAGTCAAGAGGAAAATTTACCAAGTGCCCATATCGTAGTGAGCACGGACAAACCGAAATGCTCAGTATGCTTTTCCAAGAAAAGGATATATATAGGGTCTTGAAAAACCCTATTAACAGATATACGGATGAAAAAGAGAAACATACTTACGTAAGACTGGGGGTACATTATGCCAGACAGCGATGACGGGTAAGTTCGTGGTCAACGTGTGAAGTTGGCCCCCGCTTCATAGTTAGCACAGTCAAGGTAGATGCTTCTGGTTTCGAAAACGAACATAAGTCATAAAGGACCCGAATAACAAGAAAGCCTCTTAGAACAATCTGCACCGACTACAAACGTGGTCCGAGGAATGGCTTCTGGATCTAATGTTCAGAAGTGCGCCCTCCTTCACCTGCGTCCAACCAACTGTCATTCAGATAACAGCATGAGGAAATATCACCTGAATGACATTACTCTTCCCGCAGGATCTTCAGGGAGGGATCTCGGTGTTTAGACACAGAGCAACATGAAACCAGCCCTGCGGTGCACCAAGGCTACAAAAAACGCCATGAGAGCACTCCGTACGATTAAAAGGGCGTTTGTAACCTTTGACAAAGACCTTTTTAGGAAAGTTTACGGCATCTTTGTCCAGCCTCATCTAGAACTGAACTGAAGAATATGGCATAAAAGCGTGGCGGCCATGGCTAACAAAGGACCTAAAATGCCTCGAAAAAAATACAATGCCGTGCAACAAAGCCGGCAAGAGGTTTAAAAACCAATCTTACGTGAAAAGACTTAACTGTCTTACTTTATTCGCTTTGTATTGTAGTGTAATCAGCAATCAAACTACAAAGAATAGTAAATATCTAACTGTAAGTAAGGGTGCTGCGTTTCTTATAAGAAAAATAACTATATCAAAAGGAGTATAAGATAAACGACAAATAGTAAATAATTGTACAGACCCATGAAAAATAAAGTCTTCTTCAGTATCGTTGGCCGTAGGGTGAATGTTCTGGGCAAACTCCTGAGACGAAGTCAGTGAATGAGGCTTGTCGCTCGGGTGAATTTGCGTCCAGTTAAATATGGCCAAAAGATATAAAAGTTTCGTGTCGATTAACTAAAAGCTATTGAGACAAATGAGTCAAATCAACGAAACAATGACACCAATCAGCAGACGGACACATAAGTCACGCTTTTTCACAAGTTGAAGCCAAGTGTGTGTATTTTAGCTAATTAAAACAACAGTACAGAAACTTTCCGGTGTACAAGAAAGTTTTAAATGAAAAATCGAAAATGTGCGGAAACCTGCAGTGTTACAGGCAGCCAAGATGTTATGTCATCCTGGTTTATAAGATAATACATGACCCTGAGCATGGAGTGGACTTTGAGGACATGCTTCAGTGGCACCTTTCACCCAATCTTCGTGGCCACTCGATGATGCTACGCACAAAAATGTCCAGGTTGTATCTTCGCTCCGATTATTTTGCCCAAAACGTCGTGGAGAAATGGAATGTTCTCCTCAATCAGTTGTGGAGGCGCGATTCCTGCAGCTTTTTAAGAAACGCTTGGATAATTAGTTGTGTCCTCTGTTTTCCCTTGTCAATCAGAGCCTGGGCCAAATACCCCGAGGACCCCACAGCGTTTGTCTTTGAAAATAATGTTACTTAAACTACGCAAGTACTATTTTTATAACGACAGTTTTCATTATTCGTGTACAATTGTGTGTAACTTAATGGCATGTAATCAACGGTGTTTTCAAAGACCTTGCCTATCATCCTTACCAAATAAACCGGTATAAGCGGGTACTGAAAACCTTTAAACTCTCTTTCTCATCTGCTTCCAGGTATAAGTTTCTTTTGAGTAACCTGCCAATCGATAATACATTATCAAAAATCAGCATGCTGCTAACAGAATACTGAGTTTTTATCTTAAGTCTGACTGGATTGACTCTTTTCTTCCTTATCCTTCATGGGCAGCTTTCCCTATGCGTTTGAGAAAGGACTACTGTACATTGAGGACGCCGTCGCCAAATTACATTTTCAGCTCAAAGTTCCCTCTCCGAGTGTGGTTTCGCTTTCTGCGCTCACTCAGAATTTATCCCGATTCTTTCCAGTCAGTGTATCGTGCTTTTCATAAAACGCAATGCTTTCACTAAGCAGCCTCTCAGAGAAGTAATCTGGGTTATATCGGTGCTCATAGTCTAAACCACCACCATTTCGCCCGCATCTGGTCCCCATCAGGATTCCATTCTAGTC